GTGTGATGCGGCAGTGTGATGTGGCAGTGTGATGTGGCAGTGTGATGCGGCAGTGTGATGTGGCAGTGTGATGTGGCAGTGTGATGTGGCAGTGTGACGTGGCAATGTGATGTGACAGTGTGATGTGGCAGTGCGATGTGGCAGTGTGATGCGGCAGTGTGATGTGGCAGTGTGATGTGGCAGTGTGATGTGGCAGTGTGATGTGGCAGTGTGAAGTGGCAGTGTGATGTGGCAGTGTGATGTGGCAGTGTGATGTGGCAGTGCGATGTGGCAGTGTGATGCGGCAGTGTGATGTGGCAGTGTGATGTGGCAGTGTGATGTGGCAGTGTGATGTGGCAGTGTGATGTGGCAGTGTGATGCGGCAGTGTGATGTGGCAGTGTGATGTGGCAGTGTGATGTGGCAGTGTGACGTGGCAGCGTGATGTGGCAGTGTGATGTGGCAGTGTGATGTGGCAGTGCGATGTGGCAGTGTGATGCGGCAGTGTGATGTAGCAGTGTGATGCGGCAGTGTGATGTGGCAGTGTGATGTGGCAGTGTGATGTGGCAGTGTGATGCGGCAGTGTGATGTGGCAGTGTGATGTGGCAGTGTGATGCGGCAGTGTGATGTGGCAGCGTGATGCGGCAGCGTGATGCGGCAGCGTGATGTGTCAGTGTGATGTGGCAGTGTGATGTGGCAGTGTGATGTGGCAGTGTGATGCGGCAGTGTGATGTGGCAGTGTGATGTGGCAGTGTGATGTGGCAGTGTGATGTGGCAGTGTGATGTGGCAGTGTGATGCGGCAGTGTGATGCGGCAGTGTGATGTGGCAGCGTGATGTGGCAGCGTGATGTGGCAGTGTGATGTGGCAGTGTGATGTGGCAGCGTGATGCGGCAGTGTGATGTGGCAGTGTGATGTGGCAGTGTGATGTGGCAGTGTGATGCGGCAGTGTGATGTGGCAGCGTGATGCGGCAGTGTGATGTGGCAGCGTGATGCGGCAGTGTGATGTGGCAGTGTGATGTGGCAGTGTGATGTGGCAGTGTGATGCGGCAGTGTGATGTGGCAGTGCGATGTGGCAGTGTGATGCGGCAGTGTGATGTGGCAGTGTGATGTGGCAGTGTGATGTGGCAGTGTGATGTGGCAGTGTGATGTGGCAGTGTGATGTGGCAGTGTGATGCGGCAGTGTGATGTGGCAGTGTGATGTGGCAGTGTGATGTGGCAGCGTGATGTGGCAGTGTGATGTGGCAGTGTGATGTGGCAGTGTGATGTGGCAGTGTGATGTGGCAGCGTGATGTGGCGGTGTGATGTGGCAGTGTGATGTGGCAGTGTGATGTGGCAGTGTGATGTGGCAGCGTGATGTGGCAGTGTGATGTGGCAGTGTGATGTGGCAGTGCGATGTGGCAGTGTGATGTGGCAGTGTGATGCGGCAGTGTGATGTGGCAGTGTGATGTGGCAGTGTGATGTGGCAGTGTGATGTGGCAGTGTGATGTGGCAGTGTGACGTGGCAGCGTGATGTGGCAGTGTGATGTGGCAGTGTGATGTGGCAGTGCGATGTGGCAGTGTGATGTGGCAGTGTGATGTGGCAGTGTGATGCGGCAGTGTGATGTGGCAGCGTGATGTGGCAGTGTGATGTGGCAGTGTGATGTGGCAGTGCGATGTGGCAGTGTGATGTGGCAGTGTGATGTGGCAGTGTGATGCGGCAGTGTGATGTGGCAGTGTGATGTGGCAGTGTGATGTGGCAGTGCGATGTGGCAGTGTGATGCGGCAGTGTGATGTGGCAGTGTGATGTGGCAGTGTGATGTGGCAGTGTGATGTGGCAGTGTGATGTGGCAGTGTGATGCGGCAGTGTGATGTGGCAGTGTGATGTGGCAGTGTGATGTGGCAGTGTGACGTGGCAGCGTGATGTGGCAGTGTGATGTGGCAGTGTGATGTGGCAGTGCGATGTGGCAGTGTGATGCGGCAGTGTGATGTAGCAGTGTGATGCGGCAGTGTGATGTGGCAGTGTGATGTGGCAGTGTGACGTGGCAGTGTGATGCGGCAGTGTGATGTGGCAGTGTGATGTGGCAGTGTGATGCGGCAGTGTGATGTGGCAGCGTGATGCGGCAGCGTGATGCGGCAGCGTGATGTGTCAGTGTGATGTGGCAGTGTGATGTGGCAGTGTGATGTGGCAGTGTGATGCGGCAGTGTGATGTGGCAGTGTGATGTGGCAGTGTGATGTGGCAGTGTGATGTGGCAGTGTGATGTGGCAGTGTGATGCGGCAGTGTGATGCGGCAGTGTGATGTGGCAGCGTGATGTGGCAGCGTGATGTGGCAGTGTGATGTGGCAGTGTGATGTGGCAGCGTGATGCGGCAGTGTGATGTGGCAGTGTGATGTGGCAGTGTGATGTGGCAGTGTGATGCGGCAGTGTGATGTGGCAGCGTGATGCGGCAGTGTGATGTGGCAGCGTGATGCGGCAGTGTGATGTGGCAGTGTGATGTGGCAGTGTGATGTGGCAGTGTGATGCGGCAGTGTGATGTGGCAGTGCGATGTGGCAGTGTGATGCGGCAGTGTGATGTGGCAGTGTGATGTGGCAGTGTGATGTGGCAGTGTGATGTGGCAGTGTGATGTGGCAGTGTGATGTGGCAGTGTGATGTGGCAGAGTGATGCGGCAGTGTGATGTGGCAGTGTGATGTGGCAGTGTGATGTGGCAGTGTGATGTGGCAGCGTGATGTGGCAGTGTGATGTGGCAGTGTGATGTGGCAGTGTGATGTGGCAGCGTGATGCGGCAGTGTGATGTGGCAGTGTGATGTGGCAGTGTGATGTGGCAGTGTGATGTGGCAGTGTGACGTGGCAATGTGATGTGGCAGTGTGATGTGGCAGTGTGATGTGGCAGTGTGATGTGGCAGTGTGATGTGGCAGTGCGATGTGGCAGTGTGATGCGGCAGTGTGATGTGGCAGTGTGATGTGGCAGTGTGATGTGGCAGTGTGATGTGGCAGTGTGATGTGGCAGTGTGATGCGGCAGTGTGATGTGGCAGTGTGATGCGGCAGTGTGATGTGGCAGTGTGATGTGGCAGTGTGATGTGGCAGTGTGATGTGGCAGTGTGATGCGGCAGTGTGATGTGGCAGTGTGATGTGGCAGTGTGATGCGGCAGTGTGATGTGGCAGCGTGATGCGGCAGTGTGATGTGTCAGCGTGATGCGGCAGTGTGATGTGGCAGTGTGATGTGGCAGTGTGATGTGGCAGTGTGATGCGGCAGTGTGATGTGGCAGTGTGATGTGGCAGTGTGATGTGGCAGTGTGATGTGGCAGTGTGATGTGGCAGTGTGATGCGGCAGTGTGATGCGGCAGTGTGATGTGGCAGCGTGATGTGGCAGTGTGATGTGGCAGTGTGATGTGGCAGTGTGATGTGGCAGCGTGATGCGGCAGTGTGATGTGGCAGTGTGATGTGGCAGTGTGATGTGGCAGTGTGATGCGGCAGTGTGATGTGGCAGCGTGATGCGGCAGTGTGATGTGGCAGCGTGATGCAGCAGTGTGATGTGGCAGTGTGATGTGGCAGTGTGATGTGGCAGTGTGATGCGGCAGTGTGATGTGGCAGTGTGATGTGGCAGTGTGATGTGGCAGTGTGATGCGGCAGTGTGATGCGGCAGTGTGATGTGGCAGCGTGATGTGGCAGTGTGATGTGGCAGTGTGATGTGGCAGTGTGATGTGGCAGTGTGATGTGGCAGTGTGATGTGGCAGTGCGATGTGGCAGTGTGATGCGGCAGTGTGATGTGGCAGTGTGATGTGGCAGTGTGATGTGGCAGTGTGATGTGGCAGTGTGATGCGGCAGTGTGATGTGGCAGTGTGATGTGGCAGTGTGATGTGGCAGTGTGATGTGGCAGCGTGATGTGGCAGTGTGATGTGGCAGTGTGATGTGGCAGTGCGATGTGGCAGTGTGATGTGGCAGTGTGATGCGGCAGTGTGATGTGGCAGTGTGATGTGGCAGTGTGATGTGGCAGTGTGATGTGGCAGTGTGATGTGGCAGTGTGATGTGGCAGTGATGTGGCAGAGTGATGCGGCAGTGTGATGTGGCAGTGTGATGTGGCAGTGTGATGTGGCAGTGTGATGTGGCAGCGTGATGTGGCAGTGTGATGTGGCAGTGTGATGTGGCAGTGTGATGTGGCAGTGTGATGTGGCAGCGTGATGTGGCAGTGTGATGTGGCAGTGTGATGTGGCAGTGCGATGTGGCAGTGTGATGTGGCAGTGTGATGCGGCAGTGTGATGTGGCAGTGTGATGTGGCAGTGTGATGTGGCAGTGTGATGTGGCAGTGTGATGTGGCAGTGTGATGTGGCAGTGTGATGTGGCAGAGTGATGCGGCAGTGTGATGTGGCAGTGTGATGTGGCAGTGTGATGTGGCAGTGTGATGTGGCAGCGTGATGTGGCAGCGTGATGTGGCAGTGTGATGTGGCAGTGTGATGTGGCAGCGTGATGCGGCAGTGTGATGGGGCAGTGTGATGTGGCAGTGTGATGTGGCAGTGTGATGTGGCAGTGTGACGTGGCAATGTGATGTGGCAGTGTGATGTGGCAGTGTGATGTGGCAGTGTGATGTGGCAGTGTGATGTGGCAGTGCGATGTGGCAGTGTGATGCGGCAGTGTGATGTGGCAGTGTGATGTGGCAGTGTGATGTGGCAGTGTGATGTGGCAGTGTGATGTGGCAGTGTGATGCGGCAGTGTGATGTGGCAGTGTGATGTGGCAGTGTGATGTGGCAGTGTGATGTGGCAGTGTGATGCGGCAGTGTGATGTGGCAGTGTGATGTGGCAGTGTGATGCGGCAGTGTGATGTGGCAGTGTGATGTGGCAGTGTGATGTGGCAGTGTGATGTGGCAGTGTGATGCGGCAGTGTGATGTGGCAGTGTGATGTGGCAGTGTGATGTGGCAGTGCGATGTGGCAGTGTGATGCGGCAGTGTGATGTGGCAGTGTGATGCAGCAGTGTGATGTGGCAACAGTAGAACCACCTTGCGGGGGGGCGGTGAGGCAGAGAGCAGCAGGGTGTGAGTGGCTGACCTATGACTCGCACGATCTCTGCGGTGCTGCCGCCATCATCGGAGACGGGCAGCACGTGCGCCACAGCGGTGGTCCACTCGTGCAGCTCCTCCGCCACCGCGTTGAACGCCGTGCCTCCTGCCGTGCCGCACCACGCACGCAGGGGGGCACAAGGCCGGCACCGGCACCACAGAGAGAGGTGTACGTCAGCATGTAGAGCGGCAGGGGTGGCGGCAGGCGACGGGGGCAGGCGACGGGGGCAGGCGAGGCAGCGGGAGCAGCGGGAGGGTAGGGAGGGTACCTGAGAAGACGAGCAGAGATGGCTCCTTGCATAGGTGGCCCTCCATTGATGCGCATGCATCCGCATGGGCGCTCCTGTGACTGCCCACACTGAAGGGCGCGTCTGACCAGGGGTCTGCTGCCCCTAGGGTGGGGGCTGACCCTGGCGTCATGGCGGCCAGCACAGGCAGGTCAGCACACGTGGGTGCGGGCTGTGCGTGCGCGTGTGAGAGCGGGCCTGCTGTGCCCCGCTTCTCTGCTGCCGCACTGTTTCCTCGCCCTGCTGCTGCCCTCGCTCCCACCCCTGCAGCACAGCCTCGTTCCACGTGCTCGCCCTCACGCACGGTCATGTGTGACGCGGCTGCCAGCCCTCCCTCCTCCACGCCGCTGCCCCGCACCACCTCCCCCACGCTCACTCCCCTTGCAGCCGTGCCCGCCCGCTTCTCCTCCACCGCTTCTTGCCGCGGAACGATGTTCACGCGTCCTCCCTCTCCTCGCACTCTTCCCTCTCCCATCTCCCACTCCCGACTCTCCCCGCTTCCCCCGCTCTCCACCACCCTTGATTCCCCCGCTCCGCCTGTCCCCGCCGTCATTGCGGACAACTGCGCTGCTGCGACAGCAACACGGCTGCGCTCGCCGCCGAATCGCCAAGGGTAACGGCGGGTGCGCGCGCACGGAGAAAATTCGAAGCAATCGCTCCGGAGGCGGTCGGCAATAGCCCCTCTGGCAAGCGGCCGCTGGGGTAAGTGCCTCGCATGCAGCATCCCAAAACATTTGGCGGGGGGGGTCTGGTACAGAAACATCGAGTAGTTACTTCGTACCCTTGTCGTAGGTGGCTGTACCGTCTGTATGTTGAAGGTACATGATATTAGCGTCACCCTGCTTGAACCATGCCTGCAGAGCCTATAACGCGACACGGTAGCGAGAAAGAACAAGGGTGAATGCCGCGACGACTGCCTATGTGTTGGCAACTACTTCGGAATGTTGGGTTAGACATTGTCTGGGGGGTTATCCACCCACGTACAACCAACTATGTGCACCCATCAAACATTGTGCGATGTTTTCACGATACAATCCGTCCTATAACAGGGCCTTTCAGCTTATTTGCAAAAACGGGTCACGGGCAGCACTTTTGCAGAGTTGGACACGCAGGTATTGCACACTACAGTGACGTGGGATCAAGAGTTCAACATCGGCGAAAAACATCATGAAGGCTTTGGTGTTACGAGTGCAATGGAGTGAGTGAGCGAGGATTGCAATATCGAGACAAGTATACAATGAGCGAAGGATTGAGCGAAGAATATATAGCGAAACTACAATGGTAACGGTAATGTGTGGAAAATGGGGTGCGCGACAGGCCTAGCGCCGAGGTTGGGGATTGTCGAGGCGGAGGTCCGGAGCGCGGGTTACCAACCGAACCGTGAGGTTGGGTCGCGTCGTGAACAGTGGCGGGAATAGTGTCGAGGCGAATGTCGCGAGTGGTAACGGATTATTGTGGGGTGCTGTTGGCGGGAAACAGTGGTGTACGCGCTGAGCATGGATACGAAGTAAGGAAAAGGATTTTTCCTTACATTTGGGAAACGTAAACAGTGTACGCCGAACTCGATAGTAAACGCGCCGTGAACTAAAACATAATGTACCCTTGTCTTTCTTCTTGTCCCGATAAAGAACAAATAACCCAAGCACTCAGCACTGTAAACCAGGGCCTATGCTAGGATTTGGGGCATCCTGAGGCCTCAGGGCAACTCGTCAAAATCTTAAAAAATGCCCTGATTTGTCATGGCACAATTTCAAAGGCATCCTGTAGTTTCAGGGCTTCAGCAGAAATTAATCCTGACCGGTTAGGGCAAATAAACGGAGGTTCAAGGTAGCACTTTTAGCAAGGCCTGGAACAGAGAGTTGGAGGCTCAACATCAGAGAGACGCGCACCTACCAGTGAATGCCTCGCTCAGGACGATAGTGTTGCCTTGCCTTACATGCTCCCAAACCAGACCAGCGAGGAACCTGAAGGGGTTGGTTGGTGCGTTGCGGACGTTCGGATGTGTCAAGGCATCGTGCTAAGGCGGGAAAAATACACGGGGAAGAAAATCCGCGGGGGATAATTTTCCCGGGGAATGAATCCCCAGGAAGGGAACCCCCTCCTTCCTTCCCCCACCTCCCTCCTCCCCCCCCCCCCCCCCCCCCCCCTCTAAAAACGCGCAAAGGCAAGCCTCGACATTCAACCTGACGCTACAGAGAAAAACACTACAACCATCCTGAATTTCCAAGGCATATCGTTTACAACATCCTGAGATTACAGGGTAAAAATTAACACCATTCTGAAATAACAGGGCAAATTCAAATATGCATCATGAAATCAGGGTAATCAGGAAGTTTTGCCCTAATATCGTGGGGCCTGCTGTAAACAACTAGATTATGGTCCCCACTGTATTTCTGCCTCAGCAACAACCAATTTCCCTTGCTGATCTATGGATTAGGGTTACATCCACCGAGTGAACTACCTACATTTATGGCAGATTACAATAGAGCAGGCCCTTAGCATAAGAGGTCCACTGGTGATCCCCGATTGATCATAGGGAAGGGTTACAGGCTCGTTGTCTTGGGGGGTTATGGGCGCACTGACCCGCTACTTAACAAGCCCTTTTATCACAATGGTCTAGTGGTTGGGATTATGACATGGTATCAGAGCGAAGGTCTCGGGTTCGAATCCCAGTGTGTGTGCACTTCGGGCATCCCAGTGCGAGGGGATGTCAGAGGTCCACTGGTGATCCCCGATTGATCATAGGGAAGGGTTACAGTCTCGTTGTCCTGGGGGTTATGGGCGCACTGACCCGCTATTTAACAAGCCCTTTTATCCCAATGGTCTAGTGGTTGGGATTGTGACACTGAGATTGGTTTCAGGGCGCACTGATCAATCAGTGCTGCACCTCGAAAAAAAAAAATTTGCGCCGATCAATCAGCACTACCTTAAACATTTACCATGTTTTTTCAGTGCTGTGCTGGTAGGCTTACTAATACATCAGTCCCAATCTACCGAGACATTGCATGATATATCTATCGTAGCGTAGCCTCAAGGTTTCAGTTAAGCCTCAAGAAAAAGAAAAGCAAGCTCAGGGTGGATCACAAAGTCACCACACACTCTGAGCACAAGCAAATGGCCACAAGACCAATTCACATGCAGAATTATATAAACGAGAACAAACAGTACAATGATCATAACCTAGCAGGGGTAAGCATGCAGGTATATGTATATAGATCACAGTACAAACAAATTCACGTAGTGAGCAAGTGAGGCAAAGTAGGCACAAGGCCTAAAACAGTACAGAAACGCCGATGATCACCAGGCTGAAGTGCCTTGGTGAATATATCTGCAGTGTTGGCCCGAGTGGCCACGTAAGCAAGACAAAGCTGAACATGCTGCTGCAACTCTCAAGCAAGGAAGTAACGCAGAGAGATGTGCTTCGTCCTGTGCTCCAATCTGTGCTCCTGACACAAGGCAATCATGGCCTTGTTGTCTACGTACAGAACTGATGGAGAACGAGGCTGCTCTCCAAAGTCGGTCAACAGGTAGGTGAGCCAGCGTGACTCCTGTGCGGCCATGGCCCCTGCGTAGATCTCAGCCTCACAACTGGAACTGAGAATAGAAGACGAGCGGGTAGACCGTCAAGAAACAGAGCAGGAGTCAAGGCTGAAAGTGTAACCCTGGGACGACCGCTGCGTAGCCAAGTCGTCAACCCAAGACGCGTCTGCGTGACCAGTGAGGACAATTGGACCCCGTCCTCCAAGCACGAGCCCCGTGCCCAATGTACTGCACAAGTAGCGCAACACCCTCTTAGCGGCCTCCCAGTGCTCTGGTTGGTGTCTCTCAGGCGCAACGTAGCGTGCCAGGATGCTAAGAGGGTAGGCAAGGTCAGGTCGAGTGCAGGTCATCAGGTACATGAGGCAGCCCACAAGCTCTGGATACGGGCCACTCAGCTCAACGGACTCGTCTGAAGGTGGAGCTGAGAGCGAGTGACCGGTAGGCAGAGGAGTGGACTGTGGCAAGGAGTACCGGAAGCCGAAGCGCTGAAGGACCTGGTGCACCATGTGTGACTGAGTCAGGGTGATGGTGCGACGTTCTCTGTCCCGGGTGATCTGCAAGCCAAGATAGTTGCGCAACTTACCCAGGTCAGTGCAGGTGTGTCTCTTCTGCAGCTCCGACCTCACAAAGGCCATTGCTTCAGTGTCAGTAGTGGCAAAAACCAAGTCGTCGACGTATACGAGGATGTAGAATGGCGGCAGCGAAGTGTCGGTGCGCAGAAACAGCGACGGGTCAGCAGTCGAAGGAGCAAACCTAAGAGCCGTAAGCGTCGTCCTTAGTGTGCCGTGCCACTCGCGAGGCGCCTGGCGGAGACCGTAGACTGGCCGCCGGAGGCTCCACTGGGTACCTGCAGGAAACGACCCAGTGAAGCTAGGTGGGCGGCGCAGCCAGATCTCCTCGTGCAGGCTGCCCTGTAAGAAAGCTGTGCTGAATTCAAGAGAGTGAAGCTCGTAGTGACGCTAAGCGGCGATGTGCAGCAGCACCCGAAGGTTGGTCATCTTCGAGGTAGGGGAGAAGGTCTAGAAGAATTCAAGTCCCTGTCGCAGTCTGAAGCCTTGTGCAACGCAACGAGCCTTGAAGACAGGCGGAGAACCCGACGGCCGCTTCACCCTAAAAATCCACATGCCATCGACTATGTTCGCCTCAAGAGGGGGAACTGCGTCAACGTAGGTGCCTGTGGACTTCCAGGATGCCATCTCTATGTCCATGGCTGTCTGCCACTGAGAGGAGTAGGGACCCGTAATCGCCTGTACGTAAGAGCGCGGGGTCGGGATGTCTGGTGCATCCGGGTCTCCCTCAGGTGCAAGCAGCATGGCCACGAGATGAGGTATAGCAGCTACAAGACACTCAAAGTCCTCCTGCCAATCCTCAAGGACGTCCGTGCCAAGAGCACACTCACCCCCGACGGACGGAGGACAATCAGACTTAGAGTCAGCAACAAGACTAGCGGCGTAGTCGAGACGATGGGCGGCAGCAAAGTCAACAAGCTCAGCAACTAGGGCAGATGCAGCAGCGGAGTCAAACGAAGGGTCAGTGACAACAATTGTTGGAAGACGTGTGACAGTAGGACTTGTGAAAAAGATAGACGAAAGAATGAATGAACTAGGAAATGAGATGGGTACAAATAGGAAACACATAAGTGTTGTACCCTCTAAGAGCTACCCCATTACAGCCTAAACAGACCATAGCAGATATAAGTTTGACACACCCCCATAGGCAAAGTGGGGGAGAACAAGAGGTCACAAGACCTGTCAAGAAAAGCAAAGCAAGCTCAGGGTGGATCACAAAGTCACCACACAGTCTGAGCACAAGCAAAGGGCCATAAGGCCAGTTCACATGCAGAGTAATATAAAGGAAAGCAAACAGTACAGTGAACACAACCTAGCAAGTGTAAGCATGCAAGTATAAGTATATAGAGTACAGTACAAGCAGAGTCAAGAAGTCAACAAGTGAGGCACAGTAGGGACAAGGCCTAACACAGTACAGAAACGCTGATGATCACAAGGCTGAAGTGCCTTGGTGAAAACATCAGCAGTGTTGGCCTGAGAGGCCACGTAAGCAAGACGAAGCTGGCCACGCTGCTGCAACTCTCGAGCAAGGAAGTAGCGCAGAGCAATGTGCTTCGTTCTGTGCTCCAGTCTGTGCTCCTGACACAAGGCCAGCATGGCCTTGTTGTCGACGTACAGAACTGGAGGAGAACGAGGCGCCTCTCCCAAGTCGGTC